CAAAGTATGTAAACTTGTGAAGTCACTTTATGGACTAAAACAAGCTCCCAAGCAATGGCATGAAAATTTTGATAGAACAATACTAGCAAATGGGTTTAAAATAAATGAGTGTGATAAATGTGTATACATTAAAAACTGGAGAAGAAGCGGAATGACTTCGTAATTTCCTAGAAGATATTCCGTGTTGGAATAAACCAGTGCCGGCAATATTGATTCATTGCGATAGTCAATCAGCGATTGGAAGGGCACAAAGCAGCATGTATAATTGTAAGTCTAGACACATTCGTCGCCGACATAATACCATAAGGCAATTGATCTCAAATGGAATAATTTATATAGATTTGTAAAGTCTAATGACAACCTAGCGGATCCGTTGACTAAAGGTCTACCAAGAGATCAACTACAATGCCTATCTAGGGGAATGGGATTAAAACCCATCAATTAAGGACAATCTTAGTGGTAACCCAACCATGCTGACTGGAGATCCCAAGAACTGGTTCAAAAGGGACAACTAAGCTAAGAAATTTCAGTCGAGCACTAAGGAACTCATTCCTAACTCATTCCGCCGAAAGATAATAGTGCTACCTGCAGAAAAGGGTAAAGGATAAGCTAACGCTTTTAATGATTCCAAAACCTTATTGTGAAAGGTGAGGTATTGGCAGGATACCTTTAATAGGAGATCACCTATGTAAGTGTATGAAGTGAGGGCCGCTTCAAAAACTTGACAAACACTTATGAATCCAAGATGTGTGTCCATGGCCAAAACGGACACAATCATGAGAACTAAGGAAATGTGAGAATAGTATTGTGTGGGTTGCATTGTCTTGGTTTACACGAACGGCTGACAGTTCAAGACATCGCGTTCACTACTCAGCCTAGTAAATCCGATGTAACTCCACTACGGAAGGTTCAAAGCTATATGCTACCTATCCCGATGCAATACTATTCGTGGGAACTCTAGAGAGCATCGACGCCCTCGTTTTCATTCATGTGGGGGATTGTTGGGAAAATTGGTTAAAATTTGAGTCATGAACAATTTTTTTATCAATGTTATTGTATGGTCTAATTGATTATATAAATCAATTTTTGGATAAGTTTAATATAAAACCAATTTTGTGGTAAATGAAAAATTACTAGTCCAAAATATAAGGAAAGTGGGATTTTGAGTTATCCCACATTGGAAAAGTAGAGAAGTACTGAGTTGTATATATATAAATGTTGGGACAAAGGGTCACGCCCTTTGGGCATTCAACTTTGTTTGGGAGAAAGGCCTATATGTTATGTGTTTCAAATCGTGCCCACACGCGCGCGCGCCACTGCCGTCCGTCCGACCGACCGGCCGGCCGGCCGGCTCGTACGGATCGGATTTGATTTGGGCTTGGGCTTGGGCCCAAATCACTACATTATTTTTTGGACCAAAAACATTAGGTCATGGGTCGTCAATCCATTGGCCCTTCTTACTCGAAGCCCATCTCGAATGGTCTGACTGGTTTGAATTGGTGCGGCCGAACCAATGCAAACCATTCGGCTCAACTCGAAATGGTACAACCATTCCCAATAGGCTCTACTCGAAATGGTGCAACCATTCAGCCAAAATGTACATTTTTGCTCCAAATGACACTACTTTTCGAACCTTATAAATAGACCCTGTCTTTCCCAGAATTCCTCACTTCAATCCAAAATCAGCCTACTGCATATTAAGCCTACCCTTCACAGATTCTCTCGAAAAGTTCTACACAAAGTACAGTTCGTTGTACTTGGGATTTGGAGTGCTCCTATTCCAAGCCTTGCCGTTGTATCTTGGGAGACGATTTCCATTCAAGCCGTTAGCACCGTTGCGGGGAAATTTTGTCTTAAGGACAGAGTCAACTTGCCTCGGCAAATATTCGTTCATAGCAGATTAATTTCCAACAATGTGAGCTTGAGCCGACCCAAGCTCGGCTCACATGGCCCGATTGCCAGCCCTAGATCTAACCATGTGGTGGAAATTGCAGGAATTTGTGTGAAATTCCCGAATCCTCGGTGCCGAACAAAAATGGTGAGCTCCCGTTGCGCAAATGGCAGGTGGCTCGACGAGCTCCAGGTGGGAGGCTCGGTGATCCTTTGTGTGGTCTGACCTATGTGGTCCTTTGTTCGAGGCTTGGTGCGCGGAACAAAGATGATGTTGAGCCCCGGACGCAAATTAAGGGGAGGCTCGGTTATCCTATGTGGTCCTTTGTTCGAGGAGAGGATTGTTGAAGTGCAAACAATGTCCCACATTGGTTTAATATGGGAAAGATCAATCCTTTATAAGAAGGGGATAGCACGGTGATCCTATGTGGTCCTTTGTTCGAGGGGAGGATTGTTGAAGTACAAACAATGTCCCACATCGGTTTAATGGGAAAGATCAATTCTTTATAAGAAGGGGATATCACCTCCATTAGTATGGAGTTTGTGCTATCACGACGGTTTAAACTTATGAAAAGTAACCGTAAACCAAGAAAGTTGACGGTAAACGTTTGAGAAGTTGTAGTAAACTTGATTTGATTTGAAAGTTGATTGTTTTAATAAAAATAAACTTATGAAAAATAATAGTGACATTCTAAAAACCAATATTGTTTTTAGTTGTGTATACAATGAAATCGATTTTACCTAATTTTATGAATATTATGTTATTTTGTATTTTATGTTACAAATATTTTATTATTCTTTAACAATTTTTTGATAGTATTTCAATTTAAAAAAAACAAAATGAAAATAAAAAAATCAACGAAAATCAAATAATTTTGAAAATGGAAAGAAAAAGAAAAAATGAAGAAAGTGTCATACAATGGTCTTCTTCCCCATCAACACTAGGGATATAGATGGCAACAGGTCTGTTCTAGATTGGGTTTGTCTAAACCCAAGACCCAACTCACGAAAAATATATAAACCCCAGGCCCGCTCTAACCCTTAGCTTAGACTCAGACTTGCCCCAACTCAGACCCTAATTAAACGGTTCTGACCCGCCGGACTCGCTAGATCTGTTAACATACAAAAAGTTTAATATTTTTTAACTTTCATAACATTTTGCTCGTATATTGTTACGAATAATCTCAATACTAAAATACATTATTTGAAAAACCCTCTACAAGTGATATAACATGAACAATAAAATTACGTAATTAATTACATTTAACTTCGATAATAAATAAACTTCAAAATGCAAGACAGTTAGCGGTGGTCGACAAGTAATAAATATGACTTACGAGAAATGAGATTTGAAAAAGTAAAACCGTGAAAATAGATAAATGCGGATAGACAAGATGGAGATTGATAATTTGATAAATGAATATATATATATATATATATATATATATATATATATATATATATATATATATATATATATATATATAAGTTTTGGGTCGGTTCCAATAAAACCCGTAACTCGACCCAGAACCATCAGGTTTTAGAAACTTAAACCCATTACCCGACCTAAAACCATTTAGCTGACCCAGACCCGTCAAACCGTACTCATTGCCATCCCCAACTAGCGATGGGTTTGGTAGGGCAGTCGTACCAAACCCCTTGAATCACTATAATTATCGAAGTTTTGGTAATATGAAATGCATTGCCATTGCCATACCAAAAAAATAGGTATACCAAAATTCGGTACAATACGGTATGGTAATGGTAATTACCAATTTACATCATCTACTATTTGTGTTAAAACTTAATATCATTTTTCCGAAAACAATTCATGGCATATACTTGTTTAAAATTCTCAAAATTAGTATTTAACATATAAGTATTCTAAATATATCTTCTTAACTTACTTAATATAAAATAGTTCTTAAAAAAATTATAACATAAAAATCTTAATGTAAATTATATCATCATTGATAAAAGCATTTCTATTATTTCAAGTATTTTTGACATACCTAAAAATTACAACTAAATTTTAACTATTAATTAATAATTACTTAGCTACTATCTTCACTTTTTATGAAGAATAAATTTATTATTGAAATAAATTTTTATTTATTAATAATATTTCGGTATGGTAGGGTTATACTATTTTAATATTTTTGAATACCGCTGCCCTACTTCGGTACGGTACGCTATGGTACGGTAATTATTCGATAAAACATTTCGGTACAATGTCTATAGGATTTGCTAGGGGCAAGAAGTTGGTAGGGCAATATGGTTAAAAAAAAAAAAACCACCCGTAATCAGCACCCCACCCCCACAACCAACAACCAAACTACACTACCGGTGAGGGCTCTCCACCGGCCACCGAACGGCGACCCCTACGGCCCTCTATTTTATTCCTCTTCCACCATCGGTCAAAGACTCCCCCGCCTCCCTTTCTTTAAAGAAACATTTCATCTTCTTACCAGTCGGCTCCCCTTTCCCTATCCCCAAACAACTTCTTGATTGACCAGTCTAGATAGGCAACGTCGATAACTGCATAGTTTACGAAGACTACATATCCTTCGTCGGAACCACATTGAAACCACTGTCACCGACACCCAATGAGTTCAAGAAATTACTGCCGCGCACGGCGGACCCTCTTCAGTGGTGTCTAGATTTTCTTTACAAAATAAAGATATGTTTTTCAAATTTTATTGTGATTCTTGGATTGGGCAAGAACAAAAAGTAATCTCAATTTCTTTCGTCTTTATCTGAATATTTAGAGAACTAATTGAACAAAAGAAAAAAGAAGAAGAATAAGAAGATTGATATTGGGAAGGAGGAGCATATGAGAAGAAGAAAACATAAAATTACAAATTCAATTATTAAGTTCACATTTTGGATGAACTTGTAACAATAAACTGAAATTTGGGCTACTTAAAAATACAATTACGGAAGCGGTCTAAAGTGTTCTTTCAGCGTTCTCACATGCAAAATACGTGATATTGTTGTCCAAACTAACACCAAAATCGAACGGCAGACCAATTTTTTTTTTTTTTAAAACGGTTAAGTTTAGGTCTAAAATTGTGGCAACAAAAATATAAGGACTAAAATCAATTCTAATGTATTATATAGGGACCAAAAGTGTAAGTATTCCGAAAACATCGTATAGAATATAGATAATGGAAAATGTATGTTTAAAAATGTAAATGAAACCTTAGGTATATTAAAATGGAGGTAAATGCAACACACGACTTTACAAATTACAATCCTGTACAAACCGACCGCATCAGATTCTCGAAAGTTCGACAATAAAAAAAAAAAAAAAAATTCCCCAATTTTGAAACCATAATCAATTGTAGTCGTAGCCTGTAGGTAATAAAAAAAGTAGAGATTCATCAAGCAATTTGAGTTTTGCTTTTCCTGAAAGAGAATCCTCTGTTATTCGGTAGCTTAGCTTAATCCCTGACAGAAAGAAAAGAAGAGGGAAACGGTGTTTAGAAATGGTGAAGATCACGGCGTTGATGGTGCTGAAATGCAGGCCGGAGGGCTCCGATCCCGTTATATTAGTAAACGCATCGGATCTTAGTAATTTCGGGTTTTTCCAACGACCCAGCGTTAAGGAATTCATCGTCTTCGTCGGTCGGACCGTTGCTAAACGGATCCCGCCCGGCCAACGCCAGTCCGTACAGCACGAAGGTCTAAACTTTCCGTTTTAATTATTATTATTATTATTATTTTTTTAATTTCCGTTTGATTTTCTGTCTTTAAATTGCTTATTATACCCAATTTGATGGTGCTTGGTGTTGATTATGTCAATTAAGGTTTGATTTTTTTAATTTATTATTTGGTTGGTTGGAATTACTTGTTGATTCATCTGGATTAGGGATTCAAATAGCAAAGAAATAAAGAAATTCATTATTTTCTTTACTCCATTTTGTGGTATGATTCGGCTTCGATTAGTTTGTTATAATCATCAATCATTTACATCATCATCTGAAATAATATCCGACAACAATAATTAATTACTTATCCCGACTCTGATTTCAAAAAAAATTGAAGTGGCGTCGAGTTTTAGCCAATTTTTCATGGTTATATCTATTGCACCTAATTGCATCGAGTTTTTACGTTCTCGAGAAACTTGCTTGAGTTACATCAGGAGTAAAATAATTGCTGAAGATTTTTTTCGTCTTCGGTGTAAAAATTATATGCAAAATATCTTAGTAATCTTTGTTCATTTACCACACAGAATACAAAGTTCATTCGTACAATCGGGACGGCTTGTGTGCATTGGGTTTTATGGATGACCACTACCCAGTCAGAAGCGCATTTTCATTGCTCAACCAGGTGCACACGCTATTTGTATATATTTTCGTTGAATATACCTTTTTGAGTTTTATTGGGGGAAGGTTGCTTTTCGATAATTTTTTTAATTTGCAATATTTTCTGATTTAATTGGTTAGGTCTTAGATGAATACCAGAAAAACTTTGGTGATTCTTGGAAAACTGTGCAAGATGATAATGCTCAACAATGGCCGTATCTAAGTGAGGCACTTACCAAATTTCAGGTATTCGCTCCGTTTTTTCGATTATTTGCAAATTTTGAGGCGAAAATGTTTGGGAAAGCTTTTCGTTTACTTCCATCTGTTTCCTGTTTAGGACCCAGCCGAGGCAGACAAGCTGTTGAAAATTCAGCGGGAATTGGATGAGACGAAAATTATTCTTGTGAGTATTTTGCTCTAACCATTTCCATGAAATTAAACTAGCTCGCATTTTTTTCTATTACTTTACGATCATATTATTTTCGATGGAATAGTTAATCTAGCTCACGAAATAAAATGAAATCACAGGGGAGGATTTTGCTATTAAAAATAACATGAGGAGTTTTTGTAACAATTAGTGTAAGCATAGGGGTACTGAACGCAATAAACCGATAAAAGTTGTATCATAGATATTCTCTTTCAGACCCTGGCATTTAGTTTAGTAGAAGATGATCATATAACCTTGTGATTCGTTCGCCACTGTATTTATAAGCGGTAGATGTTCTTAAATTTTCTATTGGTTATTTACAAGTTAATCTTGCATTAGTTGCATAAGCAAATGACCATGTAGTTACCTAAAAGGGTAAATTACTGGCACCCTCATAAGGTAGGACTAAATAACTTACAAACCTCTGTGGATATTGGTAATTACAAATACCCTCTGAGCTATTTCTTTGTCTTACAATTACACTTTCACCCTTAGGAGTTTTAGAGATGGCAATTTAACCCTCCCTACCAGGTACCCGCCATGCCCCGCCCCCGATTTACGGGTAATCCCCGCCCCGTTTGTTAATGGGGCGGGTACGGGTTTTGAACATGTGCACCCTTACTCGCCCCGTATCCAACCCGTTTATATTTTTTATATTATAAAATACCAATTTTTAAACATATTTTAATTACATAAATTATAAATATAAAAAAAAATATATTTTTTACGGGTCCGGGGTGGGTTTTATACAGGGCGGGGATGGGTTTAATTAAATCAAACCCGAAACGGGTGCGGGTTTTCCAAAACCCGCCCCACCCGCCCCATGGCCATCCCTAGTTACGAGTAACGGAATCTTGAAGATTCCATTGAATATCCGTTCTGAATTTCCTAATCTATCCCGAGGGTAATATACCCACAGGGGGGTTAATGTAATATTTTGTCTTCCCTCAGGGTATTTGTAATTTTGCCCATAGTTTGGTTGTTTAATAAAAGGGGTAATGTAGACAATTCATTCATATCAAGGTTTATAACGGACCGTTAGTTTTAAGGGGTATTTGTAATTACCAATACCACAGGGGTTTACAAGTTATTTACCAATACTTCAGGGGGTATCCACAATTTTACCCTACATAAAACTGTAATCCTTTTTAATGAGCTAATGGGAATGTGCTGAAGATAGTTCTGTCAAATTGATACAATAATCTCTTACGGGATTTGTTTCTTCGTTTCTTATTTACCTTGTTAATATAACATATTCTGCCTTCTCAGCACAAGACTATCGACAGTGTCCTCGAACGAGGTGTAAAGCTTGACAGTTTGGTTGAGAAGAGTTCAGATCTCAGCGCAGCTTCTCAGGTTTGCATTTCTATTTATATTTCCGAAATATAATACCAGCATATACCCATAGTGCATCTGTGCATGTGTAAAATAAAAACAAACAAACATTTCGACGAGGGTAAAAATGTCATTTACAGATTTCAGATTGATTTTTATTGATTTCTTAATAAGGGAGGTGTGGATAATAATAATTAGACCTAAACTCGTTTACCAAAATTTAAACGAAGCTCGAGTTTGAAATTTTCAAAAGCTATATTGGTTTGCATCAAACCTTGTGAATTGCTAATCAATGCAGCTTTATCGATTCATTACTGGTCCACTTCAATTAGTTACGCAACGAACATTTTGTTTCGATTAGAGAACTTTTAGTACAAGTGGTCCCAATTATTATTATTTATTTTATTATTTCTAATTATTGAACTTTCTTGAAATATTTGGGAACAGATGTTTTACAAGCAAGCCAAGAAAACAAATCAATGTTGTACAATCTTGTAAAGTGTTCAGAAGAGAAGGGGGATCTTCTCATCCCAAGTATGTTGACTTTTTTTCTTCATTGTTGAATATGAAGTTTGATGAGCTGTTTATATATATAACAATAGAAAGCTGAATTATTTGGGTTTTATTGTATCTTTATTCCACAATGAGATGAATGAGAGAATAATGTTGCAATTTATGTAGTAGTTTCATTATGTTTTGCTATTAGTTTGATTTTCTTCGCTTATTTTTTGTTATTCATTCGTGTCGGCAGCCGTGTATCTTTTGTTGTCGATTTACTCGTTTGATATATTTTTTTCAACTAGTTTACTTTTGAGCCATAGTCAAGTGGTTGAATATGGAATTCAAAGGGATCAAATAAGGAATGATCCTACTCTAAATCATAGAACGGTAATGAAATATACGATCAACTAACATTTATCGAATTTGAAAAGGAGTCAAAAGAAACGGTTCGATTCTCTTATCTTGAATTCATTCGTAAATCCATGATTTGGGATTCTCAAACATAGGGCTGAGACCTGGGTTGGGTCGGTCGATTACCAGCCTAAAAATGAACCTATCTGACAAACTAATTTTGGTCAAATTTGAAAACCATTGTCGATCCAACCTTTTTGGATCAGTTGACAGTTGGCAACGGAATATTTGGTTCCGAAATGGATCAATTGATGGGTAAATCTACCCTAGTTTACTTTTAAAAATAAAATTTGAGAAAAAATATGCACATTCATCTTAGTTCATGATCATTTATCCGTTAAAAAAAGGTTAATAGAAATTCGACAAAATATATATTTCTAAAATTCAAACTAATTCTAAACATGCACATTTCTAATTTATGGTGGAATATTTATGTCTAAATTTTTTTTCCTCGTTGATTTTTTTTTTGTTTAATATAAAATTCTAACTATTATGATAATTCCATAACTCAATGTTGTAAAAAGCGGTAATCGGGTCCGAGTCGGTCAGGCACCGACTCACGATTAATCGGTGCGACGGTGATTAATCGGTGATAAATCGGAAATAAATCGGTTTTTAAAATTTAATATAATATATTTGTAGATATTATTTATAAACACTCAAAACATAGATAACAAATATTTAAACATAGTTATATCTCCATCATGTATATATATATTCTAATAATATAATAAAAGTTTAATAATAATAAGATCATAATACATAAATATCCTTATAAAATATAAATAAAAAGACAATTTTTTTTGAATTTACATACATTCTTGGCATACATCATTAGTTCTTTAAAAATAATAATTAACATAAACAAAATAAAGCATAAACTCTTTTTTTTATTAAAATCCCAACTTTTATTTTGATTTATAAAAAAAAAAAAAAAAAAAAAAAACACCGATTTTTGACCGATTTTTTGCCGATTTAACCGCCTCGGACCGCCTCGGACCGCCTCGAACCGCCTCAAACCGCCTCACAGGCAAAAAACCGATTTTTCAAACCTTTACACTAAAATCGTAAAGGTTTTGGACCGCCTCCGCCTCGGCGACCGATTAATCGGCCGCCTCGGCCGATTTTTAGAACACTGCCATAACTACTTAAAGAAATCACACCCTTTGTTTTATTTTTTAACAAAAAAATATTTATATAGTTTGTTAACCGATAATTATTGGTCAACGGATTTTAATAATATTAGAAATCATCAACCGACCTATTATAGATGGGTTGGTCAAAAAAATTTGACCACGTCCGATAGATCAGTTAAAAAATTATTATTCACATAAAAATATAAACTAATCCAATCTCAGCCCTACTCATACATATAGATCCAATTGTTATTTTCAAATAGTGTTCGACCGACTATGTATTTATCAATATTCAACTGGTTTGAGATTATTCAAAAAAAGATTTTTTATAAGACTGTTTTTCTCTTCTTTTTCATGATTTGATTATATATACAGAACATGGGCAGGTCTAAGTAGGGTTGTCTCTGGGTTGAGTTGGTTGACTACCGGTCATTAAACCAACCCAACCCAACTAACCGACAATAGTAAATATTGAAAATTATTATCGACTCAACTTAGATGGGTTAGATATTGGTTGGCACCCAACTTTGTAAATCAGTTAGTAGGTTGATTGATGGGTCATCCGCATTTAAAAAAAAAAAATTGAATATTTTATTACAACAATATTAGTACAATTAATAATTATCGCAATATTTAATAAAAAAAAATTAAAATATTATATTATTACAATTAATAATTATCTCAACAATATTTATTAAAAAAATTAAAATATTATAAGCTATATGTGTAAACATAAGTACTTCAGCAATATTGTAATAAATTCAAATATTTCAGCTCATGTGTCTTAAAATTAAAATAGTGCAACATAAATAAAAAATCCAAAATACGACACAACATATTGAAATTTTATGGCTGTGTTTGGTAAGCTTTTGGGCTTCCATTTCCATTTTATTTTGGGGAAAAATGTTTTGGGAGAAGAATTTGAAAATTAAATAAAGTTTGTTTGTGTTTTGGGAGGAGACAATTTGTACTGTAGCAAGTCAAATCATGTCTGAAAGGTGTTGGGAAAAGGTATTTTGGAAGAAGAATTTAAAAAATAAAGTGATTTGATTTTGTATTTTAGTGAAGACAATTTTCACTGTAGCGGTCAAATTATGTTTGTTAGAGAGAGAAATATTTGAATTTGTTTTGGGGAAAGTTTTTGAAAATAGTGTGAAAAGATAATTTTCATTTTGGGGAAAGTGTGAAAAGAATTTGGAAAGCTTAACAAACATAACCATATGTGTTTCTCAATTAGCATAAACTGAAAAAGAAATCAATACATCAAAATAGTTAATGTCCATAAATTAGCTTATGTGTTTTGAGTTTAATCAATATTAGATTAGCAATAAAATTAATAAAGAATAAATAAACTTAGTTATTACCCGACTAACCAACTTTTTAGCATATTATAAACCATTATCAACCCAACTATACATGGGTTGGTTGATATAATTGACCAAACTTGAATGAGTTGGTTGATGGTTGATTATTTATGAATAAATTATGGGTCGAAAATGGGTTGGTTGTTGGGTAAAACCGGCCCATGGACAGCCCTATGTCTAAGATCTAACCGTCTCTGATATATAGAGGTGGAAAATGGCAAATCACGGCCATCTCTCTGAGGTAAGATCAAATTACGAATAAACCCTATGGTTTAGGTAATTACAACCACCCTTCGACAATGTATTATCTTACGAAATAACTCTTCATTCAATAGGTAAATTTGACACCGTAAAAATGAACGTGTAAGACAAATATATAATTGAGGGATGGTGGTGGTTACCCAAATAGAATAGGATTTTTTCATAACGTGATATCACATCAGGGTGACCGTAATTTACCCAAACTAATTCCCAGTCAAAGAAATGATTAACGAGGAAGTGGATAATCAATTAAAAGTAAATTCAAACTAATTGATGTTTCATTATTTTTATGATAGATTTGATGTTCCATTTCAACTAGAAGTGCAAATGAATCGAGTTTGGTTGTTTTGGCGAGCTTGAGCTTGAATCTATTTTGATGAGCTCGAGTTCGAGCCGAGCTTTTGTGCCCTTTTTTTAATTTATTAACGTTATTAGAATTATTATTATAATAAACTATAATAAAAATTCAAAATAGAAAAAATGATTTGTAATTTATTTTTAATTACTTTTATAGATTTATGATTTATTTTATTAATTATATTTAAAATAAAATAAATAAAATTAGAAAAAAAAATTCTCAACCGGCTCGCAACCTTGCAAACAACTAAAAGTGAGCTCGGACTCAACTCATTAGAAAGGTTAAAGTTCAAAAAATTCAAGTTCGAGTTCGAGCTTTTATCGAACTGGTTCCGCTCATTTACACCTCTAGTTTCAACTCAATGCGATTGCCTCTTTATTTGTCTTTTTTTAATTAAAATTACATTTATCTTAGAGTTTTGGTCAAAGTTTTGGAGCAACACACTGCAACACCGAATATGCTGGTCAACATTTTCGCAGTCAACTATTCACACAGACCAACTTCATGTGGGACTCCCACTTTGACCGTAACAGCTGGAGTTCTATATATTTATATATTACTCAATTATAATAAAATACTAATTCAAAAAAAAAAATTTATAATAAAATACTCAGTTATTTATTATTTTTTCTTCTTTTTTTTTTTCTCCCGACCAGAATAATTCTACCTGGTCAGACCTCAGATAAACATTTAGGTGCTGTTTACACTACTTTCAAACATACATCACCTTTTTTTTTTCTTCTTTTTCTTCAATGCTTTAGCTCTAAGAAAATGGAGAAAAAACAACAGCTCTAAACCATAATTTGAAAAAAACACCATTAAATTTGCTTTTGCAATTTAAACACTTATGTAATTAATTTATTTATTTGAAAACACATCAACCTCTAAATAGGTGCTTTAATCTGATTTTTCTTATTATTTTTAAACATCCCAATTTTTATAAATAAGTGATTATTTCGAACTTGACCTATTAGACCATAATCACCAACTTTTACTTTTACAATAGATTTTTGCAAAAACACTGTAGTATACTGATAAAATAACATTTTTAAGGAGTACTCGAGATAAACTATATGAAAAGATTATCGTATGAGGGTTAGTAGTTACAGATAAACCTCTTTAAATTACTACAGTTGGGACTACGAAAATTATATTAATTTAGCAAAATATTAAATTATCGAGTTAATAATTAGCACGTTTTCACCTAGTTGGGACCATAATAATTTATTATTTAAGCAATGTTATTAATTTATCGAGGTTTTATTGAATTGTGCAAAAACATAAAATGTGATCAAAATGTTATTTCCATCAACCTTTTTTCCACCAATAACTGTCATAAAATAGTTTATACCCTTATTACAAAGGGTTAATGAGGCGTAACCCTTCAATAGCAAAAATATTAGAAGTATGTACCAAACATTTTTTTAATATGGTGCAACCCCCTCCACTTTAGGGGAATATGATGCTACACCCGGTGATTTTCACCGGGTGGCTATTTTCTTGACATGTGTCATTTTTTATTTATTTTATAATTATATTTCTAAAATTCATTGGGCCATAACTGAACCCGTAGTGGAAATCTTATTAATTAGGGTGTCTGGTTATATTCACCAGGTGTAGCATAGAATTTCCCTCCACTTTACGTTTCCTAATATTATCCCTACACTAGACC